CCAGCATCTTTTCTACTAAGGCCATTATTTTCCAACTATTGACCCTTCTTTGTTTCCACCTTTCGCATTCCAATCACCAGTAATTTTCAGTATATCTTGATTGCATATTTGATCAATTTCAGATTGAAAAACTTGGTAGAAGTCTTCAATTTTATCATCTTTAGCTTTAGTGGTCAGTGTGTAAATTTTAATAATAGTCTTTATTAACTTGTTTTCCTTGTGTTGTTGTTAAGTTCTGTCAACTCGGTTCCAATTCATAGCAACCCTGTATAGGGATTCCGAGGAGCTGCAAGTGGGTTTGAACTGCTGACCATGTGGCTCAGACTGACCTTGTGGTCCAGTGTGTTATACTGCAGTGCCATACTAGGACTCCAGTTTTCCTAGCAGGCATATGGATATTATTCTACCACAGACAGAACTGTACTTCAAGATAGATCTTGAAATGTTCTTTTTGACAATGAATGCTATGTCATTCCTATTTGATTTTTCGTCATGGCAGAGTAAACTATATGACTGTCAGATTCAGAATGGCCAATACCAGTCCATTTCAGCTCACTAAACCTACGACTGTGTTCCATTTCATTTTTGATGGTTTACAATTTTCTGAGATTCATACATCATATATTCCATTTTTTAATTGCTAATGAATGTTTGCAGCTGTTTCTTCTCATTTTCAGTTGTGCCCCATGAGCAAATGAAGACGTCAAAAGTTTTGCTTCATCCACGTCATTCAGGTCAACTCTACTTTGAGGAGGCAACTCTTCCCCAGTCATACTTTGAGTGCCCTCCAACCTGAGGGTTCCACCTTCCAGATCTGTATCAGACAATGTTCCACTGCTACTCATAAGGTTTTCAGTAGCTAATCCTTTAGAAGACAGCATGTAAAAATTGCTATTGTTGTTAAATGCCTTCGAGTCAGTTCTGACTCACAGTGAGCCTGTATAGGGTTTCTGAGGAGTGGCTGGTAAGTTTGAACCATTGATCTTGTCGTTCAAACTGACCTTGAGGATGAGTGCTTATCCTATGGCGCCAGAGGCTTACTATTTGAAGCCCCACTGCAAGTGAAGCCTGTTTCCATAGAGACATGCTCTGATCAACAGGACAGAATCCTGTCACATGAGTGGGGGAGGCAGAGAGAGACAGACTTCCTCTTCCTACTCTTGAGTTGTATTTTAAATTTGCAAAGTCCTGTCTTATCTCAGTTTCATAGAAGACAGTTTTTGTGATTGTGGACTTTCTGATACAAAAGATCCTCGTGTCTCTTTAAGGCTCTCTAAACAAGAAAAGGGGAGTCCTGGTGTGGCGCTGTGGGTTAATGCACTGGACTGCAAAGTCACTTTGAACTGCAAGGCCGGTGGTTCAAACTCATCAGCTGCTCCTTGGAAACACTATACAGGGTCGCTATGGGCCAAAACCGACTCAGTGGCACTTAACAACAACAACTAAGAAAAGAAGCCCTGGTAGCACTGTAGAATACTACAGGGGACTACAAACCACAAGGTCAGCTACTCTTCAGGAGGAAAACGGGGCCTTCTGCTCCCATAACGATTTACAACCTTGAAAACCCTATTCAGACTCTATGGATCCGAATCTACTCAACGGTAATGGGCTTTTAGAGGGAAAAAGGAAGACCAGAGATGGGGAAGAAAGGGATTGTGGGCTGATAGTTATGATTAGAATAGCTCATAACACCACCATAGGCTACCACGTATGGGGCATCGACATTGTGCCAGGCACTGTGCTATGTACATGCTTTATATGTGTTCACTTGTGTAATCCTTATGCTGTTGCTGTTGTTATGTGTCACTGAGTTGGTTCTGACCCACAACGACCCTGTATAGGGTTCTGAGAAGCAGCTGGTGAGTTTGAACTGCTGACCTCATGGTTCAAACTGACCATGCAGTCAAGTGCATACACTACAGCGCCACACTAGGACTCCTTTATAGCCATCCTACAGTTATCTTTATAACCACCCTATAAAATAGGAACTATTAATATTCCTATTTTTCTCAGTGAGGGAACTTAGAGGGTTTCCATGGCTTGTATAAATTCACCAAAATAAAAAGCTGCTAAACTTCTAGTGTGGTACTGTAGGATCAGCACTGGACTGGGAACCACAAGGTCGGCAATTCAAACCCATCAGCTGCTCCTTGGAAACATTACACAGGGTCTCTATGAATTGGAACAAACTCAATAGCACTTAACAACAACAAAGCAGAATTGAAGATTGAATTTGTCATCTTATTTGTATCCACAACGAACACTCATGGAAATATCAGTCAAAGGGCGTACTGCATTGGGCAAATCTGCTGCAAAAGATTTCTTTACAGTATTAAAGAGTAAAGATGCCACTCTGAGGATTAAATTACATCTGACCTGTGCCATAGTACTTTCACTCATCTCATATGCATGGGAAAGCTGGACAATGAAAAAGTAAGATCAGAGAAGCATTGATTAATTTGAATTATGATATTGGAGAAGAATACTGAAATCACCATGCAGTGCCAGAAGAATAAACAAATCTGTCTTAAAAGAAGTACAGCCAGAATATACAGCCTTGAGAAGCAAGAATGATAATACTTTGTCTCACAAACTTTGGACATGTTATCAGGAGGGACCAGTCCCTGGAAAAGGACAGCATGCTTGATAAAGTGGAAGGTCATAGGTAAAAGCAGAAGATCCTCCCCTCCCCCCCCCCCCGACCCGAAGGAAAGAGATTGGCACTGTGGCTGCAACAATGGGCTCCCTGTGAGGATGGTACAGGAGTGGGCAGTGTTTTGTTCTCTTGTGCATATGAGTTGAAGCCAATTTGATGGCACCTAACAAAACCAACAAGAAGTCAGAATTCAAACTCAAGTCCTCTCATTCTCAGGCATTACACTCCAGAATCATGGGCAGAGCAGGCAGGCAGACACAGGACCAAGAGCAGTCTGAGATTTGCTCGCAAAGGAAGGAAATTACAGAATGATCGGCAAAGAGTAGGAAAAAGTTTCTGGAGTATAGGAGTGGCCCGATAGGAGGGTTTCAGGTAAAGCAGGAGATCTGAGGAGCATTAATTATCACACAAGAGGTCCATATGGACTGTGTTAATAACCTGCTTGAACAGAGAAAGCTAAAGCATGAAGGGAAGGAATGAGCCCCTCAAAGCCAGGCAGTGAATTAGAAGTCAAACACTCTCTCCATAGATTTGATGCTGGGGAATATTTGGTATTGGGTCTCAGTTGTTGATATTCATTCAGTGATGCAGCTAGTACTTACAGAATGCTTCCAATAAGCACAGTACTGAGGATCAGAAACGGAAGTTTCAAGAAATAGTCCCTGACTTCTACACACTTACAAACTAGTTGACTTACTATTGGGAGCTTAATGGCAAAGAAGTTGTTGTTGTTAGGTGCCATCGAGTCAGTATCAACTCATAGCAACCCTATGCACAGTAGAACAAAACACTGTCCAATCCTGGGCCAATCTCACTATTGATGCTATGCTTGAGTCCATCGATGCTGCCACCTGGCCAATCTATCTCGTTGGGGGTCTTCCTCTTTTTCTCTGACCCTCCACCCTACCAAACATGACATTCTTCTCCAGCAACTGGTCCCTCCTGACAATATGTACAAAGTATGAGAGATAAAGTTTGGCCATCGTGGCCTCCAAGGAACACTCTGGCTGCACTTCTTCCAACACAGATCTGTTGGTTCTTTTGGCAGCCCATGGCACTTTCAATATTCTCCACCAACACTATAACTCAAATGCATCAATTCTTCTACGGTCTTCCTTATTCACTGTCCAGCTTTCACATGCATATGAGGTTATTGAAAATACCATAGCTTGGGTCAGGTGCACCTTAGTCCTCAAGCTGACATCTTTGTTCTTCAACACTTTAAAAAGATCTTGTGCAGCAGGTTTGCCAAATGCAATACATCCTTTGATTTCTTGACTGCTGTTTTCCATGAGTGTTGATAGCTGATCCAAGAAGGATGAAGCCCTTGACAACTTCTATTTTTTCTCCGTTGATAAGAATGTTGTTTATTGGTCCAGTGGTGAGGATTTTTGTTCTCTTTACATTGAAATGTAATCCATACCTAAGACTGTGCTCTTTGATCTTCATCAGTAAATGTTTTAAATCCTCTTCACTTTCAGCAAGCAAGGTTGTATCATCTGCATATCACAGGTTGTTAATGAGTCTTCCTCCAATCCTGATGCCACTTTTTTTTTTTAGATATTTAATTGTGTGGGTTTTTTTCAGATATTTAATTGTATCTACAAAGGTACAATTTTTTAGATAGTTAATTGTATTTTTTTAGGTATTTAATTGTATCTACAAAGAAGGAGATACAATTAAATATCTGCCATATCACATTCTCTTCAAAAATACGCTGGGGGTAAAAGAAAAACAGGTTTGAAGGGAAGTTGCTGTCTGCTGATCAATCTCTTTGTTCTCAAACCCCTATCAGAACCTCACCACCTGAGTTTGTAACATACACAGAGTTAAGATTCTAAGTGTGGATTGGCCTGGAAATAGGACCCTATTTTAAGTATGTTCTGGCAAGTCCCAAAATACAAACTGGTGAAGAGAATTCCATGTCAGTTCCCTATAGAGACGCAGAGCAGCCTTTCGCTCTAACCTGCGGCCAATCCTAATGCCTTCCTTACCAGAACCTTGCTTGCGTGTTTAGATTGTATCTAAATGCTGGACTAGCTCAGAAGTCAAAAAAGAGCAATCCATCAAGTTCCTATGTTTCTAAGCAGCTCGAGGTTCTTAGGGAATCTGAAGATTTAAGGAACCCAGAGCCATCAAGGGCCTGTGCATCCTTCTGAGGATAGCTTTCACCAGATGATCAAATTATGAGCCCAACCTTCTTTTCTTGCCAAAGAAAAAGCTTATGAACCTCAGACTTGGCACGGACTTCACTGGACCCAGTGTTCCCACTAATAGATACCAGGCTAAGGCTCCAAGTAAACTCTGACCCTGCAATCAGGCTCCCTGGAAATGAGTCACTTACCTTTGTACGGGGCACAATATTAAGTTCCAGTTTTTGGTCCACCAGGCTGGCCCCTGCCTCTGAGAGATAGCCCTGGTTGAGGACAAGGCAGTCACGGCCAAAGCAGCAGGGACAGCACAGTTTTTGCAGCCACTTGGTCCATTTAGGATTGAGGTGCCCATATGGTTCTTCATTCTTGGGTTTGAAGACAGCAATGATCTTCTACAGAGACAACAAAAGGAGATGTTAAAGGCAAGCTGAATAAAGTAGTCCCAAGACCAAGTCAGCAGGAGTCTAAAAGTAAAGGAGAGAGAGGGCACAGGAAACTGAACCCGCATCCTCACTTTACAGGGGATTCTCCCTGGCTGGTAAGGGAAAGACACTGGCTCATGTGTGCAGCTGACAGAGCCACTATTAGCAAGAGATGTGACCCAGGAAGATGCTTGCTCTTCCTCACTCCTCTTCTTCATTTCTTTCCTCAGACCAGTACCTATGGTTTTCTGCATTTCTAGTAGCCAGAGACAGATGCCAACTCAGACAGTTCTGAGTCACTGGCAGCAATCTTATGCCAAAACTGTGCTGCTTCTTGCCCTCCCAGAAAGGTTAGAGCATCACACTGAAAGTTTGGAGGGCCCTAAAGTAAACCTTTCTAAAACCAGTAAGGCATTAACTTACTTAATCATGGATCATATATTGCATGTATGTGTGTTTTTACCCCATTTATCCTATAGCACCTGATCCCATAAATTAAATACTATCAAACTCCAACTCTCAAGGTTGAGATGTACAAATATCCACATTGTCGCTCTGAATCAATTGGGTAAGGAGTCAAACATTATCAATTGACAGGAAATAAAAAAGGTATTACGGAATGAGGTTAAGGAAATTCTTTCATTGATGATAGATTTTTCTCTATCAGTCTTATTATCCTACCCCGGGGTGTTAACAAGACCTTGAAATAAAAAATTTAGGAAACTAAGAAAGCAACCATGGAGAAAATCAAAGCACTAGAAAGAATCTGCAGTCTGGCTAGAATGGGGTTCTCTTAAGTAATTCTGACAGGCAAGAGACTAGGACATGAGATGCCCGAGAGAAAAAATCCATCTTCTCTAGCTGACAGTAATCTAATGCTCAAAGGTCCCTAGAAATATGGATGCGGCAGCAATCTAGAACTCTGGTTCCCTCCAAATCAGCCAGCCTCTGAGGGGGTTGTTCATTGATCTCATTCTCCCCAGTCCCCAAGCTTGTGATTCAAAAGAAGAAAAGTAAATATGCAAACTGAGTGATTCATCTTCATATCATATGACTCTCTCTCTCTCCTCATCTCATAGCCAACTCAAGCTAGCACTGATCAGTCATAAGATATCTTTCTCTGGTGTCACTTCCTGAATGGCAGGTCATGGCAGAAAACAAACACTCATCTGCCTGCATAAGGAAATACTCATATTGAAGCTTTGCAAAGATTTGAGAGCACAAGAGAAATACTGAACTTCTCTCCTCCATACAAAAAGAATTTACTTATTCTTAAAGACAAGTAAACTGACTTACTCACTGGAGAAAGCAAAATGCATATATTCTTAGAAATCTTCAGAATTCTTCATTTATCTAAAGAAGCTACCAAAAGGCCTAAATTAACAATATCCCTGCCTCTGCTCTGCTGGAACCCCAAGTTTGAGCAATGCAACACCAGTAGAGGTTTGTCACTCAAGAACCCCTGACAGGTCCACTATAATAAAGCTAGGAAACCACAGGATCACATGAGGCACACCCCATAATTTAGCAGTCGGCTTAACTAACTGAGGCACACGTAGAGTTGAGTAAGCTAAGAGACCAAGACATTCCCACGAGTAACTACTAAGGAGTCAATTCCAACTCATAGTGTCTCTGTGTAGGATTTCTAAGGAGTGGCTGGTGAGTTTGAACCACCAATCATGCTGTTAGTCGTCCAGTGTTTATCCTCCAGCGCCACACCAGGACTGAAAAATACCAGCGCTGAGGCTTAAATACTTCCACTTACAGCATTACTTGACGAACAAGATGGCAGCCAAGTGTCATTTATAGACTGACCTCTCAAATGTCTCAGTTTCTTCCCATCACAAGGAGCATTTCTTCCAGTCTAAGACCATAACTGATCAGGGTTACTAAGGCATCTCAGTATTACAGGGACTTCCTTAAAGGGTACTGTCTGGACGGACAGGTAGGGGAGCTGTAGGGTGATGCACCCACAGTGTTTAAAGAGGACTGACTGGCAATCTGTAGATGAGAAGGAAGTGGGAGTAGGGTGAAGGAACTTGTCTTACAGTTGAATTTGCATAGCTAGCACAGTTTTTACTGACTGCTATTTGGGAAGACTAAAGCCCATCCACATTACCTCTGGGAGCAACCACTGAGAGGAAGAAGGGACAGACAATTGCCTTTCAGGACTAAGTTTAGGCCTCAGTTCTAGGCAATCCTGTTAATATTTGTTCAGTCCCTAGTTTATGTAGTTGAAAACTCTGCAGGTTTCCCAGACAGACACATCACACAGCCTCTGGCCTAATTTCTGAAGCTTATGTTTACTTCAAAGTACTGGTGTGGTGCTGTAGTATAAGCACTGGACTACTAACTACAATGTCAGTGGTTCAAACCCACCAGTCATTCCTAGGAAATCCTATACAGCATCACTGAGTTGGAACCAACTCAGTGGCACTTGACAACAACATGTTAACTTCATGTGTTACTGAACAACCAAGAATCCTCTCCACAGCTGAGGGTCATAATTTTGAGGAACATGCTAGTCAGTTGCCTAATATTGATTTTGGTGCTTCTGTTCCACTTTCTGCTTTGTTTCATAGTGTCTGGGGTCTTACAAGCTTAGGAGTGGCCACCTAAGGTACAATTATTGGGCTCTTTTTGCTGGGAGCACCGGAGGAAGAAGGAAGGTCAGGAGTCGGAGGAGGAAAGGAATACATATCCAAACACGTCCATGAACAAACTCCAAATCCACTGAAATAGAAAGATGCCCACAATCATTCGGCTGTGATAGAAAATAACACCACCTGATTTTCCTTACCATTCTGTCAGGAGACCAGAACTGGATGGTGCCCAGCGATCATTACTAGACATTTTGATCAAAGATTCTACAGAAGAATAAGATCAAAAGTGGTGGTGGAAGATAGAGGAACAAAATGTCAAATTCTCATGGAATCCAGGCTTTCTGGAGTCACTCCTGAAACTATTATCTGGAAGAAATGTTTGAACCTCAAAAATATCCCCTGATATTTTTCTTTCTGTTTTCCTTTTACTTTTTATTGTGAATTGAATGACGGTTTACAGACAAGACTATCAGTTTTACATCCAACAAACCACACACTCTGTTTCATCTCAATGACTGCAGTTCCCTCCATGCAGCACCAGTTCTCCCACCTCCTCCCTGTGGCAGCTATGTCCATTCCATTCCTTCTCAGCTTTGTCCTTAGGTTAATGGTGCCCTTTTGATTTTGAACGATTGACCATTCCATGGTGTGAAGTCACTTTTGAATCAAATAATAGTTTAGTCTAATCAGAAAAGAATAATCTAAATATGATCAAATTGACAATAGCAACTCCAAAGGATAGATGAGAAGCTTAGGGGTACAGTGAGTTTGTGTTAATGTCAGTGAAATCTTTATGAAAAAGTTGTCAAGAAAGGGGGCAGAACTAGAAAAATGTAACCAATATCACTGAGGTGAGTATGTAGCAATTGTAAAAGTGGTGTGTTTTGTTGTGTGCCTTTTAACACACACACACAAAATCATAAATTTTTTTTTTTTTTTAAATAGGAGGAATGGGGAAAATACTCTCCTCACTCATAGAGAACAAACTCCAAAGTCGATGAAATAGAAATATGCCCACCAGTCTTTGGTTGTGAAAGAAAATGACTACTCCCTCTTTTTCCTCACCACCCTCTCTCTACTTTCAGATACTCTGAATTCCTTTGAAACACCCAGGACAAAGCTTCAAATTTGGCACTAACATTTTAAAAACATCTCTTCTTTAAACCCATTTACAAATCCCTCTTTTAACCAAGTGTGCAGCAAGTAGCTGTGTGGCTTAATACAGTCCACAATGTTGGAAATAAAAACAGAACAGCAGGGGAAGCATAAGGCCACACACTGGCTGATGTCAGGACCCACAAACAGAGGCTGAAACCCTGAAACCCGGAGTGCAAAGGGCTCCCTGGTCTACCAGGCAACCACAAAAGAGAAAGAGAAGGCTTCATGCTGAAAGAGGTCTTTTCTCTGAAGAACCTAAAATCGAAGACAGTTTAAACCAATCACTCAGATTGCACTAACAATGCAATATGCAAAAATGACCTTAAATTTAAAAAATAGTCTGGTAAACGTGAAGTTTGCAGCCAATTAAACTAACAGTTCTCAAACATTTTGGTCTCAAGATCCCTTCATACACTTAAAGATGTTTGTTTATGGGGGTGAAATCTTTATATGTATTAGAAATTATAATGGAAAAAAGCTGAACTATTAATTCACTTAAAAATAAAAATGAATCCATTACATGTTGGCATATGTGAACATTATTTCTACAGAAAAAAAAAACAAAAACTATTTCCCAAAACATTTTTTCCTGAGACGATGGCATTGTTTATTTTTACAGTTTAAAAACTCTCTCTAATGTCTGGTTTAAGAGAAGGCAGCTGTATGCTCCCATCTGCCTCAGCGTTCCATGTGTTTCAAGGTTACACGTCCTGCCACCTCTGGAAACACACTGTCCGCTCCTTGGGTAAAGGGTGAAAACGGTAAAGTCTGAGCACTATTACAAAAACAATGTTGACCTTGTAGACCCCTAAAAGGGTCTCAGGACCTACCTCCAGGGGGGGACCTGGACTACATTTAGAAAAGCTGTATCAAACAGAAAGAGCTCTGGTAGCACAGTGGGTTAAGTGTTGACTTGCTAACAAAAAGGTTGGTGGTTCAGACCCACCAGCCAGCTGAGTCACAGCAGAAGACAAGGCTGCTCCTGGATAGGCTAACAGTCTCGGAAATCCCTAACAAGCAGTTCTGCTACGTCCGACAGAGTTACTATGAGTTGTGAATGACTCCATGGCAGTGGGGTATTGTTGTTGTTGTTAAGTGCCATCGAGTCGGTTCCAACCCATAGTGGCCCTGGATAGGGTTTCTGAGGAGCAGCTGGTGAGCTTGAACTGCCAACCTTGAAGTTCAAATGGTTTTGCAGTCTGGCACATT